ACAGTCAGGAACACAGAGCAGTGTGGCACAGTCAGGAACACAGAGCAGCGTGGAATAGTCAGGAACACAGAGCAGCGTGGACCAGTCAGGAACACAGAGTAGTGTGGCATAGTCAGGAACACAGAGCAGCGTGGGACAGTCAGGAACACAGAGCAGCGTGGCACAGTCAGGAACACAGAGCAGCATGGACCAGTCAGGAACACAGAGCAGCGTGGCACAGCTCAGGCAGTAGCAAGAGGAAAGATGGAGAAGGCTGCTGACGGCCAGGCAGAAGGACACACTGACCTGGGAGAGCTGGGGGTGTTCCCATTTTGTTCACGTAAGGCCTCAGAATTGGCTGGACCATCCACAAGCTTCACACATTTCTTCTCCTTCTTTGGCTGCATATCCAGAGGCGGGCTCTTGTGGGGAGAGAGGCTGGCTGGCTGAATGGCTGAAGAGGCTGGCTGGCCCCACTGCACAGTGTTATCATCGAAGTTATTAAGGCAGGACTCTTTCTCCTCTCTCTGAAGTGGCAGTCTAGAAACTTCTTCCCTAGGGGCATTGGCAGCAGGTGTTTCTTCTGGAGTAGTTATATCCAATGGCAGCACCTCACGTCTCTTTTTGAGTACAGGTACTTCAATTTTCTCTGAGAAGAAAAACATTAATAAAATATATGCTTAGTGAATAAAAACAAAGACATAACCTGAGGAAACCAAGGGAGTTATATATAAATTTGTTCCTTTTTTGGTACTCTTCATATACATTTTTCTCTTTGATAAAATACATATACATTTAACTACTGTACCTTTTCCCAATACTTTCACGTTTTCATATAAGCAGATATTTATTGCATGTGGGCGCCCCACACATGCATGTGTGTCTCATTCTCTCCCTCCTGCTGCCCCTCAGTCTCCTCGTCAGCCTCACTTCTACCTCCTTGTGCTGTCTCTCCCCCATCTTCTGAGAGACACCCTTCACTGTCTGTCTGTGTCCAGGAAAGGACTCCAGGCTCTATCCTCACTGAGCACCATCAACTCTACCGTGAAGAGCGTCTATCACTTTCTCCTTGTAAATTCCGTGTCCACACAGCTCTCGGAATGATCAGATCAGGGCTGGAGGGCGGGAAGGTCTACTGCAATCTCTGCAGGTGAAGCAGCAGTGGCAGAGTCCAGGAGTTCTGGTTCGCGCCCCACAGTGCAGCCAGGAGACCTTGTGCAGCCCCCTCTCTCTGCACTTCAGCATCTTTAAGACTGCTTCACTCAGTACCGCCTTGCAGGGAGGGAATGAGAGACAGCTGGGACTCTGAACACTGGTAATGCACGTCTACTACTATGTCTAAAATGTACTCAGAATCTGGCCACTTGTATGACGGCTATCTCCCCAGTCCCAACCACACCCTGCTCACAGCAGCTGCTACAGAGCCTCTATGCTCAGGGCCTACCGATCCCCTGTGGGGTCCCACACAGCCCCCCAATTACTCTAATGTCTTTCTCCCACTGCCACCCCAACGTGCCCTTTCATTTTCAACCCCCAAACGTCAGAGGTCTGAGGTGCTACCGCAAAGACGGGGCCCTGCTCCACACTTCTGCCTTCAGATCAGCGTGCCCCGCCCCCTCTCTTTTGCACTGCTCTTCGGAATCACCCAGACCCCACCCGTGTCTGTGCTGGGCTGGCAGACCTCGGGAATTCATACTGGGTAATTCTTAACCAGGGGAGCCTACTGGATCCCGGAAGAGAAAAAGCACAAAGAAAGACGTCTTTTAAAAACTATACAAATCTTCCTATTGTCAACAACCTCCCCCTAGTGGTGAGAGTCACTGTAGTTCACAGAGATGATCTCAAAGTTAGGCAAAGCGAACCTGGTTAAGAATCCTTAAACTCAAACATGCTAACACAACCTTTTGAGGAGGGGATGGGGTCAGAACCACAGCATTCATACATTTCTTAATACTGACTTTCTATTTTTCAACTTAAACACTATAAAAGCCACTGTTTGTAGTATATCAGCTGCAGAGACTGTATGAGTAGGCTATTTTCTGAGTAGTTAAGATTTATTGTATTTCCTGTATCAAAATGTTTTTCTGTAAAAACAGAATTCCTGGGCCAGGCATGATGGTGCACACCTTTAACCCCAGCACTTAGCAGGGATTAGTGGTAGGATCTCTGTGAATTCAAGACCAATCTGGTCTATACAATACGTTCCAGGCTAGCCAGTGTGAGTCTGTTTCAAAATTAAATATAAACAAGTGAATAAATAAATAAATCCAAGATGAATGATGGAAGATGATAGAATCTGTGCTGCCATCAATTATCCCTTGAGTTTGAATAACCACACACTAGAAAACACCTCATAGAGCTCAGAAAACCCAAATACAAAAGCAAGATGGCAAAGACTCTGGAACACACACACACACACAGCAACTGGAAGGTCCTGTTACTGTGGTCCTCCTTCCCCAAGCCACTCGGGCATCCTGCACAGAACGGTGACTGTGCTGGAAGGTCCAAGGGGACATCTGACTTCCCATCACCCTGGTCCCCTGTGGTGTTTCACTCCTACACTGGCCCACAAGGGAGACAACCGGGGCTATTCTACCCCAAGCCAGCAGAGAACAAGAAGAAATGGGCAAACAGGAATTAATATCCAGACCTTGCCGTGGTCCTCCATCCCTGCCACACCTTCCAGACAGACTATGTACACGCCCCGTCCTGCTGGAGGCACAGTCCACATGGTCTTTGGACTCGAGTGTGGGACTGGCTCGCCCACATGTCCTGGGTGCCCCCTTATACACTGTCCACGGCCACCAGGTGGACACTGTACCAGCCATAGAGCCATCACAAAACTGACAGCTAACCTGAGCTGAGGGTGACCTCAAAATGCTCAAGTGGAATGTAAGAAGTTGGTTTACTGAGAATTTCAATAAACAAACAAACCAAAAGTAAAAAATCAAAACGCACCCCAAACACCAAAACAATGAAACAGAAGTCACAGGCAAACACAGATGGCAAGGAATATGACAACAAACATCTATTTCATGAGTCCAGAGATGTATGTAGGGACTGAGAAAGCCAAGGAGGGAGGGCCTTAACAAGGTCTAAACAAGGTGCCCACGACAGAACTCAAGCCATGCGTGGGACAGCTGGAGACAAAGGGCTTAACCACTGGAGGAAACCAGAGAAGTCAAACCTACAAGCCAGATACAGAAAATGAGAAGTGAAGTCTAAGACGTCCACAGCAGAGCTGACCAGTCAGGGAAGAGTGAGTGAGTCTGAGACAGGCTGTTCAAGACAAAGGAAAAGAGCATGAGTGAGAAGGAAGGGAGGGAGAAAACTCCAGCGTCTTCTGAGACACCATCCAAAGGGAAGTCGAGGCCACTGGCACCGAGAGAACCAGAGAATGAGGAAGGGCACAGAGTTTGCGCAAAGAAGTAACAGAAAGCCCCAGAAACCCAGGAAGAAATGTCCTTCCCACGGGAAGGTCAAAGTTTGCTCAGACCCAACCAGAGTCAAACTCTCAAAGGTCACAGAACATTCCGAGAGCAGCACAGGGGAGGTGAGGGGACAGCCATGTCCCCAGCAGCAGACTTCAGAGGCTGAAGGGAAAAGCTGCCAGGCTAAGCGGTTCTGTGGAGATGGGACATGGACGCCCTTCCCTAATAAAAGCTGAAGCAATCACTGTGACTAGACCTGTCTACAGGGATGCTAAAGCATGTTCAAAAGGAGAGGGCGAAGATGCTCATGCGCAACGTGAAACCATCTGAAGGTAGGCTGGGCTGCAGTAACAGTAACAACGGCTCAGTGGTCAAGAGCACTGGCTGCTCTCCCAGAGGACCTGGGTTCAATTCCCAGCACCCACATGGCAGCTCACAACTGTCCTTAACACCAGTTCCTTGGGATCTGATGTCCTCTTCTGACCTCTGCAGGCACCAGGCATGCACATGGTATACAGACATACGTGCAGACAAAACGCCCATACACACAGAAATAAATAAATCTTCGTGGAGGCAGGGAGCACCTAAAGTTTTAAAAACTGAAATGATCAGAGAAAATCTAAATATTCAGACATGATAGTCACATAGATCCTATGCACTCAGCAGGAAGATTTAAAAATAGCACTAACAAAGGAACAATTATAATCAATTGTTAAAGGATAGGAAATATAAAAAAGGCATGAATTTTGACATCAAAACTCAAAGCAAGGAGGGAAATGGAGCTAAGAGAAGGGTTTTTTTTGTGTGTGGGTTTTTTGCCTTTGTATTCACACTTCAGTTCAATGTAACTTGTTTTAAATATAGGGTGTTCTTTATGAGCTTGTGGTAATTATGGACGAAAAAGTTAAAGTCTAAAGGATGGAAACAAACATACTGACCGAGAAACACCTCTCAGCAATGAAGACAGTAGGAGAGAAAGAAAGGAAGAAAAGGCCTGCCAGAAAACAACCAGCAATACGGCTGGTTCTTAACGATCAGTAATTACTCTGGATGCAGATGGATTACATTATCTAATTAAAAGACAGTGGCTGAAGGGATTACAAAAACAAGAACAGAGGATGCTGCCGATGTGAGACTCATTTCATCTGCAAGGATATGCAGAGGCTGCAAGTTAATAAATGAAAAATGTAATCCACATGGAGACCAGAACAAAGTGGGATATTATGTCAGGTCAAATAAACTTCACATCAAAACTATGAGATTAGAACATTAAAGAATGGTAAAGGGGGTCTGGAGAGATGGCTCAGTGGTTAAGAGCACTGCTTGCCCTTCCTGAGTTCAATTCCCATCAACCACATGGTAGCTCTCAACCATCTGTAATGAGATCTGGTGCCCTTTTCTGACCTGCAGGGATACCTGCAGACAGAACACTGTATACGTAATAAATACATAAATCTTAAGAAAAAAAAAAAGAATGGTAAATGGGTCAAAACCAACCCTGTAGCATACATATACACACACAACACATAAACAAACATTGATACAGCTCTCTGTATGAGAGACACCAGCATACATACACACACACACACACACACACACACACACACACACAACACACAAACACTGATACAGCTCTCTGTATGAGAGACAGACAACAGCATACACACACATACACACACACACACAAACACACAAACATTGACACAGCTCTCTGTATGAGAGACAGCAGACAAGTGACACCTGGGGATGGCCACGCCCACTTACAGCAGTGGAAAATCATCCAGACAGGAAGTCAGCAGACACTCTGGATTTAAAGTACACTCCAGACTTCAAATGGAGCTAAGAGAAACTTATAGAACATTCTACCCAACAGCTGTAGAATCCATTCTCTATTGCATATGAAGATCATGTTAGAAAAAAAAAAAAAACAAGTCTGAACAAAACATATTTGTTTTGGTGGGACCCCAAACCAAGGTTCCATCAAACATCTTTTCTGACCCCAACCAAACAAGCAATAGAAAGACGTTAATCAACGCAGCTGAACAGAAAGCTGGGGAATTAACCAGTTCATTCACACAGCTCGTATATTCACAACATCAAAACACAGAACAGGGAAAGGACCTTCAATTAACGGTGCTAAGAAAACTGGCCACTACATGCAAAGTACCAAACACCTCATCTCTCATATGAAACACAACCAGCTAAAAATGGACTAATCACTGATGTAATATGAAAATACTAGAAAAAAAACAGGGCAAGTGCTACCTGACTGCTAGTGAGGACCTTTAGAGAAGACCTCAACAAGTACAACAATAAAAGCAAAAATAAAAAGTAAAAGCAAAAAAATGGATATCAAACTAAAACTTCTGTAACAGCAAAGTAAACAACAATGGAAAGGATCTACAGAATGAAGAAAAGTCGGCAAAGTATATGCCTAATAAAATAGTAACATCTATAAAAATTATAAAGACCCAGAAACAAAATACCTCAAAAACAATCTGATTTGTTAAAAAGAGCAAACCAGGGGCTAAAGAACGGCCCACTGGGTAAAGATGCTTGCCCTGTGAGCCTGACAACCTGAGTTAGAGCTCCAGGAACTGTACAGAGGAAGAAGGAGAGCCAGCTTTCCAATGCTGCTGACTGATCATCACATACACTGTGGTGTGTAAGCATACACCACACACAGGTACACGCTCACACGCAGTAATAATAAATACATATGTAAAAGCCAAACACTGTGTGACCTCATTCATCTGGGAGCTCCTACAGCATGATGACTATAGTTAACAGTAACACACTGTGTATTTCAGA